GTACGCATGTTGGTTTTCGGCACTGCCTTGCACGAGAAGGGATCATGTTCTAGAAAAGCCAAATTTCTGCGTTCTGGCATGTATGTACACCCAACAATCAGCTGGCTGATGTGCATGCACATACCAGTTTTCGGCACTGCCTTGCACGCGAAGGGATCATGCTCTAGAAAAGCCAAATTTCTGCATTCTGGCATGTATGTACACCCAACAATCAGCTGGCTGATGTGCATGCACATACCAGTTTTCGGCACTGCCTTGCACGCGAAGGGATCATGCTCTAGAAAAGCCAAATTTCTGCATTCTGGCATGTATGTACACCCAACAATCAGCTGGCTGATGTGCATGCACATACCAGTTTTCGGCACTGCCACATGCACAAAGAACAGCTGATTGTCACATGTGCATGCATGCCAGAAACCCGTAAGACAAATAGACAAGGCTGCAAGTGCTGGGCGACATGTGTTCACAGGCCACTTTAGGCATGCATGCCACAGGTTCACCATCACAATATTTAAAGAGGCAAGCTATTTTGGGGTTGGGGGGAGGAGACAACAGATTTTTTTTTATTATGCAAAGTGTTACAGATTTTATGATTAAGGGTCATTAGTGTGATTTATGGCTGCCATACTGATCTTGATTTTCTTGCTTCTTCTCTCTGTATTTAATATATTTAATATTTTTATATTTATGATCTTAGCTATAATTAATATAGAGTTATTTTTTAGAGTGAGATGGGTAACATGTTAATTTAATAAATAAATAAGATGTATAACCCTCCAGATAGCAACACCGTCCACCAGAATACTTTATGCCTACCTCCTCCCAAATCTCACTAGTGAATATTTTGTCTTTTGCGTGTCTTAGTTCTTTTTGAGTAGAAACGTTCCTTGTTTCCTCCCTCTGGAAAATATTTCTTTAGTTATACTGTACATCTGGGAGCATTTTCTATAAGTGGGTTTTTATAAAAATTTATCCTTGGGCACCCAGCTGTATGTTGAGTTTTTCTGTATTTAATGCTTTTAAGATGTCCAATGTCACTACTCCTGGTTTAGCGAAGTGGGGAAAAGGCACAATATGTCATGAGATGTCATCATGATGATGCAAGTTTGACACCTCTGATCTACCTAAACAGATTCCTGGTGACCACATCTCTATGCAGTCTTCATGGTGCTGATATGGAAATGGTTTTTCATTGCATTCTTCCAGGATTTTTATTCATATCTGTGAATCTCTGCTGTTTGCTTATAATATTCATGCTTCAACATTGACTTTATTTTATTGCTGAGAGTCACAGAAAGCTTTGTTGCCAGAGAAAACATAAAGCACAAAAGCTACCAATTTGTGTTGATTCCCACAAATCAAATATCTGTTATTACGTAAATACAAAATTAAATGAAGCAAATACATTGCCAGCAGCATATTTTATTAATGTATTTCCCAACTGGAAATTTATAAAAACAATTCTGATCATTTTCACTGTAATATCAAACCATATGCAACCAATAATTCATGTTTAAAATGCTCTCCAGGCAAATTACCCTAGAGTTTATTAGGAGTATACTATCAAATAGTCCCTTGATGGTTTCCCTTATGATAATTTAGTAATAAGAAAATATAAAATTAAATTTTGTCACTTAAAGTTGTCACTTAAATGGTTAAAATG